GAGAGATGAGGCACAGGGTTTCAAGAGGGTGACACCAGGACTCACGCCGTCACATCGCATGCACCTCTGGCTTCTCCAGTGCTTTTCTGGGCCACAATAACTTTGGAAGGCATTGGCTCCAATTCAGCCACCATGGTACTTCTTCTCATGCATTCATCCACAAGCATTTATTTATCCAAGTTTCCTCAGGAAGTGTGGCATGTATGGATTTTCCTCTGTACACCAAAGCTTCAAAAACTACTGATTGTATGGGCTACTGTCCATACAACCCCTTAGGTTGACTTTCATATGTGTCTTTATCTGAAACAGATTGGTTTAACTATAACTACACCAAGGCAGTTGGATAAGAGAGAGTTAAAAAACTGGCAAGAAATCTTTTACAAACTCACAATTAAAATATTAACAACAACAACAACAATAATAATAAGCTTTGCTAGAAAGCACCTCTGTGTCCCAGGAAACATGCTGATGCTGATATGTTTGCACTGACTCCTTCAACCCTCCCAACGATCCTCAAGACAAAATTGGCCACATTTTCATGTTGAAGGTCATACGTATTGGGGTATTTTACACAGCTTGCCTAGGTCACTCAGCTAGCAAGTGGTGGAGTTGAGATTCAAACCCAGCCTTGCCTAAATGAGCAAACCTCGCGTGAGCTTGGTTAAGAACAGTGACTTTGAAACCAAATATGTATTGAGCATTCACTTTGTTTAAAAACCTATTAGGAGCTGTGAGGGCAGGTGGGCTAACAGTGGCTTTATGGATAGTTGGGCAGAGGAGGCAAGGCAAACAGCCTCTTCCTTGTAAAGCCAGCTCCCAGGACCACAGTCAGAGGGTAGAGGTAATTGGAAGGAAGTTGCTGATGGTCATTTCAAAGGGCAAAGAGATTAAAATCTACTCTCTTGCCTTCCCCAAAACAGCACTTGTTCTTAGAGACAGGAGAAAAAAAAAAAGCCTCTAAATTGACTTCACCATCTGTTTGGAATAATTTTGCATAATGTGAATAAGCTTTCTAATCTATCATTTCTCAGATTAGTATCAGAATTTTAGAGGGAAATGCAAAGATTGAATTTAGTCCTTGTTGATAGCATCTCATTTTATACATAAGAAAAACGGAGGTGTGGAGATATGATTTTTGTATTTAGGGGACAAATGGGGCAAAAACTCATGAGTTCTTGGCCTAAGAACTGCTTATCATTACTTTGCGAAGGAGCATGGTTTGCAGGTGATGTGTGTGCTCTAGCGTAGGAGCCCTTCCATTGCTTCCCAGGAAGGGATGTGATTAGTGTTGTCCACTCCAGACATGCCAGCAAGGGCAGACTGGTCACCCTGGGCATCCTGGAATGGAGTTTCTCCATGATGCTGCCAGCACACAGAGTCCCCCAGTGCAAACTGCACACTCCACGTCGGCGGCTGGCTGCACACACTGCCTTGCACGTGTCTCCCGTCTCGGGGCACACACCCGCCCCTGCGTGCTTAGAAACCTGGCGTGGGTACCAGGAATGACGTGAGGCTATGAGTGGCCCGGACTGTCTCTGATATATGATGTGAGGGGGAAGAAGCCTGGACAGAGGGGAAGGCTGCAAGGATTATGGAGCGTTCCACTTCCAATTTCCTGACCCCGCCTTGGGCAGCGTAGATGGGCCTGGCTCTCGGTCAGCAGAGGTGGTGAGACCCTGCGTGTGAACACAGCAGGAACATGTCCCCAAACCAAACTGCTTCTTTAGAAAACCAACTTGGAACAGCCCACTTAAAAACCTTAAGACGCTCTTAGATTTCCATGTATTTTTCTTTCATAATTAAGACATACGTCATTTTTGACGAAATGTGTGTTCCCCATGCAGCGACACACGTTCACATAATGAACAGTATTGAGTTGCAGGCATAATAAATAGCTGTTTGAGTGTTTATGCCATCTGTAACCTATGCACTTAACTAGAACGACGCTTATTTATTTTTCTTTCATCCTTTGGTATTTTTTGATGAAGAATGTATCATGGCATGGTTTCCAAAGGTAGCAGAACCCTCATTGTCTTGTGGAGCCAGGAAAACACTTTCATTTTGACAAAGTCCATCAGTTGCACAAAGAAAACCAGATTCTAATGATTACTGTTCAAACCAGTTCAGGCCGAGTGAGCCATTAAAAAAAAAAAAAATCTCTCTTCCCTTGTTTAGCATCTTTTTTTTCTTTTTTTTGTCCTGCTTCAAATTGGCATATGCTTGGAAAGTGTGCTCACAGGAGAATTTTAATTTATTGATGTTTCTTGCCCCTACTGTACATTCCGGGCTCCTATGTGAGTGTAATGGATGAAGCAGATGTTCGACACTGCAGCACCTCTTCATAACTCCACTCTTCAAAAACAGTTTTACAAGTACTTACTCGCGCTGGTCCCCACTGCTCACAGGAAGCTGAGGTCACCGTGAAACATGAGGCCGGGGCAGGAGCCCGAGCTCATGTGCTCCACAGCTGGGCCCCCTTCTTCTTAGCACGTGAGCGATTTATGAAACAGCCATAATTTTCAGCTTATGGACAAAGAAATAAAAGTGTTGACACCATTATTGTAACATCTGTGGAGGGAAAAATATGAGCCCGTTCCTAAGTGCGCAAATGGTACCGGAGTTACAAGGATTCTTTTATGCTTAATTGTATTCATTATCAGCGGTAATTATTTCCAACACGAGCAGTTTCTTCCAATTTAATGTCAGCCTAAAAGGTTAAGACCTTCCAGTAGAGGCATTTCAGTCTCATGATTTGTTGGGCCTGCAAAGTTACGCTAATTGGGAAAGTGAGAGTGGCTTCTGAGGGCCCCCACCTGCCTTGGTTTAGCATGTCTGCATAGAGCCGGTCTCTGACAGTTAACATCACAGAAGGGTACTTCCAGGCAGCGTCTAAAAGGATTTCCCGGCTTACACTGTGAGCTGTATTTTTATCATCCATGGAGCTGACTCCTGAAGGCTCTGTCTCTCCACTCCCATCCCACAAGCATCCTTGGAAGAAACGCTCGTCATTGTGAGTACTAATGTGGAGTGGTGTGCTGGGGGAGAGGAGCCCAGAGCACTCATCTTTTATGGATGAGAATCTGGCCTCTCTGGCTAAGACCATGAAGGCTCATCCTACCTGTGTCATGAGATCAAAGTCCCGGTGACCAGGCCCTTCTGTTCTCAATGGGCTGAGGTGACCCCAGGACCTTTGGGCTGCATTCAGCAGGTACCTCCTTTGGCCTGGCAGCTGTCTCCAAGGGATTGTGGCCATGAAGAGAACTCGTGGCAGAGGGTCGACAGAGCCCCCATGCTGGGTAAGTATGGTACTTATCCATCCCTGGCTAAGTACATGACATCGCATGTGTGTGTGTGTGTGTGTGTGTGTGCACACAGGTGTGCGTGTTGGGGGAGCTGGAGAGGAAGCATAGATGGTTCCACAGTCACGCTCTAAAAACACTCTAACTTAGCTCAAGCCTCTTACCTATTCAGCCTATTTGGTGGGATGGGGAGTAGCCCTGGTGATGTTCTCGGGGCCCTCTGAGGCACACAGCCTTCTCCCGGCTGGAATGCAGTTCAAGAGCCCCACCTATCATCTCCCGCATCACCCTATCACTGATGCTGAAAATTGCTGTCAAAATACTAGAAACCTGACCCTCTCTTAATTCTTCTCCAGCCTTTTAAAACCAGCCATCACTGTGCGGGAGCTGTAATAAGTTCCAGCTTGCATTCACCGCAGAAGGTCTGTTGCTGGCCCTCAAAGATGTCCACTTCATGGGATCACAGGACTTCCTTTCATACTGACATATTTGTTTCTGTTTAGTTACCACATCATGTCCAGCTCTTTGTAACCCCATGGACTGTAGCCTGCCAGGCTCCTCTGTCCATGGGATTTCCCAAGCAAGAATACTGGAAAGGATTGCCATTTCCTACTCCAGGATGTCATCCTGACCCAGGGATTAAGCCCATGTCTCCTGCCTTGGCAGACAGATTCTTTACCAGTGAGCACAAGGGAAGCCCAGTTGATGTATTTATTTACCCCAGTGCTCACAACAGCTCCTGGCACAGGGTAGGGTCTTATCTTGACACAAAAGCCCTAGACAGCAGCTGAGACAGGACTTGAGGGCCAAGGTCCTACTGAAATGTGAAATTCCAGTGCAGAGAGAAAGAAAGAAGAGGACCCTGAAATAGATGGGGAGCGAGAACAGAGGGATGTGGTACCTCCTGGCCTTGCTTTGTAGCAGACTTCAGCTACCTGAGCACAGCTTGACAGATGGACCGTCTCAAGACCAGTGAGATGCCACCAGACAGACCATATGGAAAACCATGCCCAGAGCCATGTCCAGTGCGGGGAGCAAGCAGAGGGCCTGACTGCCTGTCCTCTATCTCCCCAGGTCCATGTACTCCCAGAATGGAGTCGAGCCCCCTCCTGTCTGGGTTCCATCACTAGAGACAACCCTTAGCCTCAGGGCACAATGTCTGCCTGCCTGGCTGGCTTTGGCTCTCAGGCATCTGAGTCCACGTGCTTGGGATTCTGCCTCAATGCTAAGGATGCTCGTGGGCTACTCTGCCCCTCCCCCAACCTCGCAGGCACAGAGACCTCCTAATCCATGTGCCCATCATACCTGCCAGGCTGACCAAAAAGCAGTCCCAGAAAACAGCTCTGCCCCCTCCAAGGCGCGAGGGTGAGTCTTGCATGGCACAAGACAAATGATCCTCTGTTGATCCCTGGTGCCACCTCTAATAGAAAACGGTAATAATCTGACAGTGATTCCCTTCCAGAAAGTGATTTGGACGAGTGCCGATGAGGAGTGTCTGCCAGACTGCTGTGCACTTGTCTTTCTTCTGCCCACCCCAGCAAATTCAGGTCAGATAATTAGCACTCGTCTTTATGCCTTATGCTTTCTGAATTTCTGCAGTACTAGGAGTAGGAGGCAAAAGTTCTGAAACCTTCCATGAGGTTGTTGTTGCCGTGGCAACCACTCCCTTGGAATTCTCAGACTTATTCCCAGTCGGTGAACAGAGGATGTTCTGAACAAAACTGAAAGAGTCCTTGACGCCAGGTAGGAGGCGGGAAGGCTGGGAGGTTTGGGCAGTCCAGAGTAGGTGGCAGTGAGGACAAAGGGGTCTGAGAGGACAGGGCCTGAGGCTTCATTCTGCCTCCCGTCTGGCAAAGGGACCTGTGCCTTAGCCAGGACCACATCCCTGTCTTTGTAACGTGTCCTTCAGGGTGTCCCATGCCCAGCCTTGTCATGGCAGTGTGGGCTGTGTCTGGGTGATCCTCAGAAGATGATGGAGCTCTGACTAGCTCCTGCCTCTGCAACCAACCAGCACACGCCCTTGGGTCAGCCACGCCCACTCTGAGCATCAGCATCTGCATCTCTATAAAGGAGGGCTTTGGGCTGACTACTCCCCAGGGCTCTAGGGCAGACAATGCAGCTATGAAATGGAGTCGTGGGGGTTCCAGTAAAGAGCTGATTGGTATGGGGTCTTCTCCTTTAGTTCTTAAGCTAAGCTTCCCAAGGAGATGAGGTTTGAGGCTGCCTGGTCTGTAGGAAGCTTTTTGCATGAGCTACTTCTTCGGACCTTGGAGGGAGCCTGTTGTGCTTGCCCCTGTTAGTTTCATCATCAGAAATCATTATCAGCACGTTTTTTGTTTGTCTTAAGGTTGTTTCATGTATTTCAAAATATTGTGAAGGAGTAGCAAGAGCTAGAAAGCAGATAGGAGGAATTCTTGGTCCTTGTAACTAGCTTGAGAGGGAGTCTGACTACTCCACTTCCCAGATAAGGAGACAGAGATTCAGAGAAGTCCGATAGCAAAGAGCCACAACGTTAGCGCCCTTGTTGAGGCATTCCATCCTGAGCCTCTGGTATTGCTCTGTGTCTACCTCTGGTCAGCATCCTCTCAATTTGAGAAGAAAAAAAAAGCATTTACTCAGGTCTCAGGTATCCAAAGTCATTACTAGGGGAAGCCTGTGAAGTTGAACTTGAACCTTGGCCCTTTCTGGCTGGTGGGAAGAACTTGGCAAACAGTGGATTGCTGTTCCATCTGAAGATGTGGATGTGTGCTCAGTTTTTAAGGTAGAGAAATACTAGGTCAAACTTGAAAGTCTGTAAGTCTGCCCTCGGGGCTAGGGAGGAAGTGCAAGGTCAAGGCTCGTCTAGTCGAAGGGGTAAATGTAGAAGAGGATGATGGACGGGCTCCCTCTTAGAGGAGATGATGGAGCAGGTTCCAGCCCATCTGCATATTCTCCAGGAGGAGGGGGAGACCCAGGCTGGGAAATGTTGCCTTAGAGACCATTGGCCCCCAGTGGGGGTGGGAACGTCTGAGTGGCCTTTGTGCATCTCTACTTTCAATCAAGTGCACCCAAAATTTCAACAAAAACCAACAGGATGATGGTTTGCACAAGAAAAGCCAACTCTCCTTGAACAGTTTTTAAAATTCTAATTTAAAATTTCAGTGCTTTGGGGGGCGGTAAGGAAATGGGAGTTCAGGGAGAGGCAGGAGGAGTGTGAGTGCGTGCTCGGTAGAGGCTGACTCTCTGCGACCCCATGGATTGTAGCCCTCCACGTTCCCCCTTCATGGGATTTCCCAGCAAGAACACTGGAGTGGGCTGCCAGGCCCTCCTCCAGGGGATCTTCCCAACCCAGGAATCGAACCCAGGTCTCCTGCATTTCCTGCATTGGCGGGTGGGGTCTTTACCACTGAACAAGCTGGAAAGCTAGGGAGAGGCAAAGCTGCAGGATTTAGAGAAAAGCAAAAGGCCCTAAACTGTCCAGATGCCCAATGCTGACCACAGCACCTGTCCATATTTAAGGTATCTGTATACCAATAGCTCAGTTGGTAAAGAATCCGCCTACAAAGCGGGAGACCCCGGTTTGATTCCTAGGTTGGGAAGATCCGCTGGAGAAGGGAAAGGCTGCCCACTCCAGTATTCTGGCCTGGAGTATTCTGTGGACAGTATAGTCCTTGGAATTCCAAGACTTGCACTTGCATTTTCACTTTTCATACTCTGTCATGCCAGAGCAAACAGCAAATGCCTTAAGCTCTTTGGTGTTTCTTTCTGATTGTCTAGAGTTTTAAGTAGTTCATTCATATCCGGGAACAAAGCAGCCACATTTAAAATCTGATTTATAAATATATCCCACTCCATACCAATTTAGAATGCAGACCCGTCCTTTCAGTACTAAATTAAAATACCCAAGTCTGCCAGGAGCAGTCAGCGAGTCTGAGGTTTTAGGCGGTTTTGTTTTATCTTGTTTCTTTCTTTCTTTCTTTCTTTTTTTTTTAATATAGGATGAAATGATTTTGAGCAAAATTCCCAGGAAGATATTTAGGGCAAAGACAATTGAATGCTAAAGGAAGTCAATTTCCGAGCTTGCTGTTTTTAATCCCCACTTCCATCCCTGCCGCAAACAGGGTGGCGGGCGCGGCCGTGGATAGGCGGAGCCTGGCTAGGCCCTCACGGGCAGTGATGGAGCTTGGGAGAGAGGCAGGCACCGCAGACCCGTAGCTCGGGGCCATCCTCCCCAGCCCCCACCCAGAGGCGCTTCTGGGCTGCCACAGGGACAGACGCCAAGACATCCCAGCCGCTCCCTGAGAAACGACTTCCAGCTCCCTGACAGGTTGCTAATGAACATTCACAGCAGGAAGGAGGCCATATCTGGACCCTGGAACCTCATTTGTAAGAAACGCTCATGAAGTCATCAGGGTCAAAGTTGACCTTCCTGTTATTAAACGTGGCCGAGAACGTTCCCGCAGAATCTGGCAGCAAGCCGACCTTCTTCACTTAAATGGAGTAGTAGGGAAAAAGGTAAGTGCATACCTTCAATGAGCCTCAAGCTAACAAGGATGCCGCCAAGGCAAGAGGTGACCGGGACCAGCACCTTCCCGTCCCGGGGAAGAGCTCTGTTCCGGGCACTCTCAGAAGCTCAGCTCAGAGCCATGGGGTGCCTGGTCGCTTTGGCCCCACGGGGGCCCCACGGGCACTGGCTGTGTGCCACTGGCCTGATGGACCGGGCGCAGCTGCGGCCTCCTCTCCTGAGCAGAGGCGGGGCTGTGACCGATGGCGTCCTGTCTCTCTCCCAGGCCCGGGCTGCTGGCCGGCAGGGCTCCGGCTCCACCAGGAGCCCCGGTGGACGAGGGTCGTCCTGCAGGACCGCCAGTCACAGAGGCCCCCATGTTTCTTTTCCTGGGAAGGCTTCCGCTGTGGTCGTGAGTTCACACCAGTGAGCGGGGAGGTGGGGCCAGAGGGCTCTTGTGGGAAACGCAGACAAGCCCAGGCTTCCTTCTCCAGGTTAAGGAGGCTTTTACGAGCCCTAGCAAGGCCAACTCCCCCAGGCTGGGAAACCCCAGAGGCATTTATCATCTCTCCTGCGCTGGCGGCTTCCACGTCAGGGTCTCGGTGGGAAGCGTTCAGGTGGTTTGTTTTTCAACCGAAAGCTGTCACCGGCTCTGCGGCTGTGGCCTCAGCTTTTACCATCACTGGAGCCGTCTTAGTTTCTTCACCAGATTGAAAAGGCATTTCCTAAATTCATAATGTTTGAGACACATTATGGTCTTAGGACTGGATTGTAAAGTTCTCTGTGGAAGAGGGTCTGGCCTGCCCCTCAACTCTGGCCCCATTTCCTTAAGGAATTGGTGAATGCAAATGCGACGGCTTTATATTTTTACAGCTGCCCATATTTTCTCATTTGATTCTCATAACTCTGGGAAGGAAGGCAGGGGTTATTATTCCCATTTTTCAGATAAGGAAGTGGAGGTTAAGGAAACATGTGTGAGGCCCACAACTGTGCATTTTAGCACCAGGGCCTGAACCCAAGGGTTCTCATCCCCTCACGGCTTCTGTCTCCTCCACTCTAGACCCTCCCGTGCTGGGTGGCAGACCATCCCAGAAATGGTTCCTGGGCCTCTGCCAACACCAGGACCCTAACCCTGCTTCTCCCACCTCATCAGAGGAGCCCAAGGGGTCGCCTCCATTTTCCTTTCCACCAAAGGGCAGGAAAGCTATGTGTTGCTGTGCGGGCCCCAAAAGTGTTCACCTCAGCAAGCTTCCCCCATTCCTGGAGCCGAGGAACCTTGGCTGCTACCGCCGTGACTCGGCTCACAGAGGCAGCTCGAGGAGAGTTTGCTGGGTCTGTCCCTTCACACCTGGCCTTGCCTCCTCCTGTTTCAGGCAGCCCATCCACGGTGCCAGGAAAAAAACACATGAGCAAGAAAGAGCACTTCTTCAAGGGAGCTCTGGCCTTTGAAACCGCCTGCCTCTTTTGGCCAGGCTGGCAGAGACGGTTCAATCACAGTTCAGCGCCGGTGGCCCGCGAAAAGCTCACGTGCGTTGGCTGCGTCCTTGTTCTGCAGAGCAGCTCCTTTTCCTTGGTGCTAGTCACCCTGGGAGGCGGCTTCTCCCCAGTGAGCACGTGGCAGACAAGCCCTCCTCTGATGACCCGGCTGGGCAGCTCTGCTGACCATCACGGCGACTCTGCCAGGGAAATTGTGGGCAACATCACGCGTGCATAGAGACTCCCCCTCCTGAGTAGAATGAGAGATTTTCTGAGTGCAGAGAAGTCCCCGACTCTGTTCCAGAAGCTTCTGAGGCCGCCATTAAAGCTGACCTGCCTGGTGAAGGCATAGTCTGGATAATAAGGACTTGGAGGGACCCCCCACCGGAGTGGCAGGCCACAGGACAGTGCCGTGGTGCAGGAAGGGACGTACCTCTGCAAAGTGAAGGCACGTGAGCACCTCGCTGGAGACGCTGTGGGAGAGAAAGCTGGGGGTTGAGAAAGTGACCCTGAAAGTATGGGTTTCCCCATGCCGTCAAAGGCACCAGCTTCCTGCAGCGCCCGAGGTTCACCTGCTCAGAGAAAGGTGCGCCTCCTCCCTCTCCACCACCACCACCCCTCCGGCCCCTTCCCCACTGACTTAGAGACCAAACCCATCCCTACCTCCTCCTCCGTCCTCACCCAGGAGGCCGCTCACCCTCACAGCTGGCTCCACACTCAGACCTAGGTCACCCCTATCTGGGGGAAGTATTTTTTCCTCAAGAATCAACTAACAAATAAAGATGAGAGACCGACACTTCATTCTTTTTGTAATGAGTCTTACAGCAGAAACAAATAAGCCCAAAATAAAAGTGACAATGGTTAAAATGCATATGGCCAAATTGTCAAAAGAATCAAAATTTCTTGGCAGACCTACATCTGTAAAAATGATCTAGAAAGTATCAAAATTGGAAGTTATGAAGATTGCAATAAAAAGTATACAGTAGCAAACACTAAAACTAATTTTAAGAATATATGTTGACAAAAGAAAACGGGTCTGTGAATAAAAGCTTGACTGCAAAATTTACTTGGAAGAGAATTGATGAAAATAATTTTGCTCAAATACTTCCTTGACCAACTTGCTATATGGAAGCTTATTGCTTCAAGTGTTTCTATTTTAATTTTAAAGAAATTTAATCAGACTTGCTCCAGAAAATACTTTCTCCACAAAAACTCAGTACTAATATAATTCTGCTTCAAATATTAACATTCTTAAAATGTTATCAAGCTATTTCCAAACTATTGAGACTTCCTGAACAATCCAGTGGTTAAGACTCTGGGCTTCCAAGACAAGGGACGTGTTTGATCCCTGGTTGGGGAACTAAGATCCCACATGTTGTATGGCATGGCCAAGAACATGAAAAGAATAAAGAATATGCAGATGAAACAGCAGAATCAAAATGCTATAAACCAACTCTGGTTCCAGACAAAATGGAATAGACAGACATCTTCCTAACGCCCTCACCCCCACTAAGTACAGCTGAAAAACACAGACATTATATATAAAATAATCATATGACTCTGGATGGAAGCAAAGGAAACACAACTGACTAGGAAACCAGGTCCTCAGAAAACAGCTTCATGGTGAGTGCCAGAGTTTCCCTTTTGCTGCCTGCTTATCCTGAGTGAGGCACTAAAAAGTTTGCAGTCCCCAAACAACAGCTGATACTGGTTTTAAAACCTAAGAAAATCTTGTTTCCTCTAGCCAAAAGTAGCCAGCAAAAAGTTGTTTAGATATTACCATAAGCCATGATCCACAAATGAAAGTTTTTATAAATTAGACTTCATCAAAACTTAAAACTTTGGCTCCACAAAAGACCTTGATAAGAGAATGAAACATCAAGATACAGACTGGGAGGATATATTGGATATATTTACAACACATATCTGACAAGGGACTCACAAGCAATTCTCAAAATTTGACAGTAAGGGACCTCCCTGGTAGTCCAGGTGTTGAGACTCCACCATGCCACCCAAGGGGTGCAGGCTTGATCCCCGGTCAGGGGTTAAGATTCCACATGCCTTGTGACCAAACACCCCCCCCCCCAAAAAAAAAACAAAAACAAAAAAATACAACAGAAGCAATATTGTAACAAATTCAATAAAGACTTAAATAATCTTCAATATAAAAGTGCAACTAATTCAAGTAGAAAATGGACAAAAGACAGATCCTTCAGCAAAGAGGATAAATAGATGGCAAGTCAGCTCAGTCGCTCAGTTGTGTCTGACTCTTTTCAACTCCATGGACTGCAACATGCCAGGCCTCCCTGTCCATCATCAACTCCTGGAGTTTACTCATACTCATGTCCATGACGTTGGTGATGGCAAGTGGGCAGATTAAAATACTTGCAACACCTTCATATGTTAGGGAAACGTGTACTAAAACCACACTGAGATATTACTACACATCTTAGAACAAATAAAATAAAAAATTCTGACAATACTAGATCCCATAAAGGATTTTTAATACACTTCTCTGGGAAATACAAATGGGACAAATTCTCCAGAAAATAGTTTGGCAGCTCCTTAAAAATCTAAGCATCTAGTTATATGACCAGCAATCATGGTACTGACCATGTATCCCAGAGAAATGAGGGTGATTGTCCACCCTAAACTCTGGACACAAGTGTTCATAGAAGCTTTATTTATAAAATCTAAATACCGGAAACAATCCACGTATCCTTTCCTGGGTGAACCCATGCATTCTATATTTGCTATCTAGCTACAGAATACGCCAGACTTCCCTGATGGTCCAGTGGTCAAGGGGCTTCCTTGGTAGCTCAGCTGGTAAAGAATCTGCCTGTAATGTGGGAGACCTGGGTTCAGTCTCTGGGTTGGGAAGATCCCCTGGAGAAGGGAACAGCTGCCCACTCTAGTATTCTGGCCTGGAGAATTCCATGGACAGAGGAACCTGGTGGGCTACAGTCCACGGGGTTGCAAAGAGTCAGACACAACTGAGCGACTTTCACTTTCACTTTCCAGTGGTTAAGATTCTGCACTTTCATTCCAAGGGGCGAGGGTTCAATACCTGGTCAGGGAACTAAGATCTCACAAGCCCTGAGGTAATGCTGGGTAAGACTGAAGGCAGAAGGAGAAGGGAGCAACAGAGGATGAGATGGTTGCATGGCATCACCGACTCAATGGACATGAACTTGGGCAAACTGCAGGAGATGGTGATGGACAGGGAAGCCTGGTGTGCTGCAGTCCATGGGGCGGCAAAGAGTCGAACTCAACTTGGCGACTAAACAACAACAACATAATATATGCCGTGATATGGGATAGGAATACATAATGCACATTTCTACTTGCATGTGCGCATATACACTGAAACACTGGCGATCACTTGGTCAGGACACTTGAGATTCTGGTGGAGAGATTCCGGAACCCTGCCCAGTTTAGTGACTGGCAGGTCATGGCTTCTTCAGGACCACTTCCCGGACCAGCATTCTGAGCTGAGGGATCTGTGCCAAAGCCTCCCGCCCCTGGTCCTCCTTAGCTTATGACCTTCTGTCAGTCCACCCCATGCCGGCTCTGACTGCCCATCAGTCCAGGGATCTGGGCAACGGACTCCTGGACCCCAGGCTGAAATCCCTTCCCTCTTTCCAAGGATTCTGCCTCTGGCACCAGGAGCCCCAGACTCCTGCAGAGGGGGAGGTGGGGGGGGCAGGGGAGCAGCAGCTGCCCCCCCACCCTACCCCCAGCCAGTGGCTCTCCACGGAGCAGAGGGGAGACGACCCTCAGAGTGGCGGTGACCGCTCTTTCCAGAGAAGCTTTATCCCAGGGCTGTTTCTCTGATCTACAGTCCCTGTATCCTTCATCTGGGTAGAGGGCCCAAGGTGGGTAAAATCAGTCATGTCTGACTCTTTGTGACCCCATGGACTGTAGCCCACCAGGCTCCTCTGTCCACGGGATTTCCCAGGCAAGAATACTGAAGTAGGTAGCCATTCCCTTTTCCAGGGGATCTTCCCAACCCACGGGTCGAACCCATACCTCTTGGGGCTCCCACTTTGGCAGGCAAATTCTTTTACCCCTGTGCCACCTGGGAAGCCCTTCAGTATTTTATGTCTACCAAATTGAAACTGAGGAAAGAAAGTTACTATCCTCTACCAAAATTACATTTTGAGCTATTTGGCAATGAAATGGATTAGGAAAGGAGAAAACAAATCAATCTTTCCCTAACGGGCTTTGCAAGTAGATTCCCAGGTTTCTGAGACTTCAGAGCTCCTTCCACATAAGCATCCAGAACATTCTACGCTAAGCACCAGCCATATGGTCCCTTAAACCAGATGTAAAAGCAGCCGAGTTGGCCCCACACCAGCTAGCACACCCTGAGACCAGGCTCAGCCGCATGAAGCTTTATTGGCCTGGGATGCCTGCTCTTTCAGAGGCTGTGATGGAGAAATGGTCTTCGGGGCCCTTCTCCATCTTTACAGGAGGTGGAGGTTCATGCAGGTAGATGAGATTGGCCGTCTGCTCTCAAAGCGAGCGCTTGGATAGGGTCCCTCCCCCAGGTCCTCTGTTCTCTGAGTAACTATGTGTTAGAAGAGCCGATGGGAAGACCTGGTCCAGGGATAGTTTACACATGTGTGGCCTTTGTATTTTATGTTCCTTTGACCTCAGCGCTCCTTTCCAATTGTTTCAAGAGCTCAGGCCTGCTTGCTTATAGAGTTGGAACTTTTTAAGACAGGACAGCGAGATTTCATAAAACTTCAATGTCTAAAGCATCCAGTATAATGGAAAAAAAAATTCCATTATTCATTTCAGCTGCAGGTCTGAAGGGAAAGGTCCAGATCACTTTCAGTCACTGGTGGTTCTCTGTGCGTTTCTCTGCATCAATCTATGTGAAAGGCATGATGGAGGCTGCAGGTGTTTGAGGGAGGCTGTGCCCCAGCCTGTGCCCAGGCCAGCACTGGGTCTCCTGGGTTCCTAGGGCTGGTGGCGCCGGCTGGCAGCAGCTCAGGGCATGGCCTGCACCAAGACCTGCTTCAGAATCCCCGGAGGGAGTCCGTGCTCAGACCATCTCAGAAGTTTATCACTGGCTTGTTCCAGACCATTGAGAGAGGTTCAAGAAACCTGGGCCTCAGCAATTCACAGGACCCAGCAGAGTGGTCCTCAGTGGCCCCCAAGAGAAACCTGGAGTCCCACTGTCTTTAGCATTTGGTGATGGAGGGGACCCCACAACTGAGCCGGACCAAGCCCTGCTCAGAGGGAGAGAAACCACGGTTTTCAGTTGCTTAGATATGTGTAAGCCTGGAGACCTGGAGGGGACAGGAGGGAGAATGGGGGGCCTCTGGGCACGTGAGAGAAGGCTGCTGCCAGCCTGGTACCCCTCGGCCGGCTGAGTGGCCATGGGCAAGTTACATAACCCTGCCCTCCTCCCGAAGCGGTTTCCTTTCCTGTGCAATCCCTAGGTTCTTGGGAAAAACAGAAAACAGCAGGCACTGGCTCTATGCAGTAGAGAAATGCACGTGTGCTCAATCACGGCCGACTCTTTGCGACCCCATGGACTGTAGGCTTCTCTGTCCATGGGGTTTCCCAGGTACGAACACTGGGGTGGGCTGCAATTTCCCCCTCCAGGGAACCTTCCCAACCCAGGGATCAAACCCGCGTCTCCTGCATTGTCACATGGAGTCTTTACAGCTGAGCCACATGAGAAGCCCATAAAGTAAAGGAATTTGGGGTTTCGTTTTGTTTTGCTTTTGTATTTGAAAGTTGACTTTTCCGTTTCAGTCAGGAGACAAAGATGCCGGGGAGCTTCCTCCTATGCCAAGCCTCCAAAGCCCAGGCCGTCATCTGGGGGTGGTTCCTGGTTGTTTGGACA